GATTCGAGATTCAGTTGTTCAAGTATTGAAATGTTTGTACGGTGAGCTGTATAAGGTATTCACAGCATCCGTCTATAACACCGCATTTCAAAAGCATCGATTTTACGTTTTATTGCCAACTTCAATGTCCAGGTCTCTGAGGCATTAGTTAATTATACATATATACTATTATACGATACATATTATAACTACTACCGCAAGAATTTATTTTCAAAACAAGGCACTTTGAATTCCCTGACTTACAGTTTTAAATAGTTTGGATACTGTGAAGGGAAATTGGAAACAGTAAACCTACGCGTTGAACTGTAATTTTTAGTCGACCGACTATTTAATTGCAAAAGTGAAAACAATACATACTTATGGAGCCGATCGGCCGACTATTTGATTGAATGTGCGACTCCATAGGAATATATTGGTTACAAATATTCAACTAAATAGTTGGTCGATTAAAATTTGCCTATCAGCGTATAGCTACGGCTACGCAATGCAATCAAATATTGGGTCGATCGGCTCCATAAAAATGTATTATTTTCACTTTTGCAACGAAATAGTCGGCCGACAAAAAATTACATGTCAGTGCGCAAGAGAAAGTCAGAATAATGCATGCTCCATTTAGAAATGTGTAATAATTACTTTTATTCTCCCCCCCCCCCCAATATGCGATAATTTTAAGTAGTGTATATTTTACTTGTCAATTTCTATCAGTTTAAAAGCAAAATATAATAAACGAATTCAACTGGCGTTTATACACAAGACAAGTACACAACATATATTGTGACCTACGGCCATGGTAGGTTAAACGTTTATGAAGAACCTGTGACAGTTTTTTTTTCTATTGGTTCTCTATCATGTGAGTCAAATAACTATCTAGTACTGATAATTTTAATTTTAAAATATCTTGAAAAGAGTTGCTCGTAGCGACTTTTACCAAGAGACCAAGATTATTTACGTCAAAAATGACGGAAATGTATATTCTTTCACTGAGTAGTTTTATAAAGTACGGACAAAAATATATTACTTTTCAAGACAGTTAAAATCATGGTAGGTACCCTACCAGTAAAAGTCATATTTAACCAATTTTCATTCGAAAAGAAGCATTTTAGGACATAAATTTGTATGCATTTTTTACTTATTTTTATATGCAAAATATGCTGCCAAAGTTTCCCGAATACAATTTAAGCCACCCTCTATAGTAAGTAGTAGTAGTACGAGAGCTAGCAACGTCGGGAAAACAAGTATTTTAAAACGTCTGGCTCTTTGATACATCTTTTATTATGCTCTCTAGAACAGCATGCGGCCCGTCTGGCTGCCGATACCCGTTGCGTTTACTACTGCGCATCCCAAGAAGATCCTCTATTTTTTACTTAGCGCTTTAAATTCTAGTATTGAATAAAAATCGAGCAAGTCTCCATTAGCTCGGCGCGTAGAGCTTTCGCCTATGACGCGAAGGTCAGTGGTTCGATACCGGCTGGGGGTGTAACTTTTTTATTTTTTTTTTTTCGTTTATATTCTTATAGTAAAGTATTAAATATTTGCTTTTTATCACCAAAACGGATGGCGCTTATGGGTTTACGATCCGTAGTGGGTATCAGTAGAATTTGATACTTTCATTTGTTTTGAAGGATTATTGTGGTAATTAATTATTAGGCAGGTTTAGGATGGTCTGGCTGCCGCGCCGGTAGGTTGCGTTCATTACTGCGCATCACATGTGTACAGGGTGTCCCATTTTTGTGCGTTTTTTGGGATTTCTCGTTTACAATTTTATTTTTAAAGATTTAAACATAATATATAAAAATTAACATTTTAACGCTTTATTAAGGTAATTTCTGCCTGTCTTTCTTCAAAATATTTTTTCAGCTGTTGTTTATTATTTTAATAATAATTTTTTAACAGATTGTTATCTAAAAGCTACACAAGTTTATTTTCAGTTCAGTTTGTTAAGATAACGATGGAAAACAAAATTATCTGGTTAAATTAAATTAAATAAAATAATAATACTTTCTAAACAAGATTAATTAATGTTAATGTGTAGAAAATGTACAAATCTAGGGGTAAAATATTTAGTTACATAAAAAACTAGCAAAGTAATGTGAAAAAAACGCATCATTATATGAAGTGAAAAAAAACGCATCATATGCATCAAACGTATCTCCACTCATAAACGAGAAATCCCAGATATCCCAAATCCCCAAAAAAACGCACGAAAATGAGACACCCTGTACCCATGTGATGCGCAGTAGTGAACGCCACCTACCGGCGCGGCAGCCAGACCATCCTAAACCTATCTAATAATTAATTACCACAATAATCCTTCAAAACAAATGAAAGTATCAAATTCTACTTATATACACTACGGATCATAAACCCATAAACGCTATCCGTTCTGGTGATAAAAAAGCAAATATTTAATACTTTACTATTAGAATATAAACGAAAAAAAAAATAAAAAAGTTGCAACCCCAGCCGGAATCGAACCACTGACCTTCGCTTCATAGGCAAAAGCTCTACGCGCCGAGCTAATGGAGACTTGCTCGGTTTTTATTCAATACTAGAATTTAAACCGCTAAGTAAAATATAGAGGATCTTCTTTGGATGCGCAGTAGTAAACGCAACGTATATCGGCAGCCAGACGGCCTGCACGCTGTTCCAGAGAGCCAGACGTCTTAAAATACTTTCTCGAAAACGTTGCTAGCTCTTAGACTATAGTTCTCTCTTTTAATTTGAGCACCTGAGCTAAAATTCAACCTTTTACCAAAATAAAGTGTTTTATAAAAATATTAATATTATTTGAAAATAGTTTCTTCACAGAACGTTGAAATTTTATTGCCAATTACCAATTATTGGTTAACCAGAATGACAAACGACGAAAATTGAACGAAATAAAAGAATATAATTTATTTTCCGCCCGGGGCGACGACCAATAAACAGACTGGATTAAAAAAGCAGAAATTCCGATTATTACCGCCATGAATTTTGCCATTTCGATTTTCGGTTGGGAAAAAATGCCGCGGCGCAAGATACGCCGTTATTTATTTATAGCGGCAAATGGACCATGGCCGGCACACTACGGTTAGTGGTCCGGTTTTTACGCTAAAAATTCGTCGAGTACAATAAACCTATGTACGTTACTAACGAATCAGCATATAAATCGGCGCGCATATTTCTTTTCCAATTTGTTTATATTACGTGCAACAATGTGCCAATCGCTTATGTATCGAATTTATTTTCAATAAAGCTTAGTATACAGGGTGAGTTTCCTACGATGTTCTCTAAGGGTATCTCGGAAACTACTGAGAGAGTCGGTTAAATGGGGAAAGAATTGCAGTTTTGTGAGGTCATAAATATGCGCCTTTTAGATTTTTGAAAAAGTTCATGGCTTACTAGATATTTCGAAAAAAACAAATTTTGGCTATTTTAAAAATTGTCCCTAATTCCATTATAATCTATTTTAGACAAAAAGTTTTCAGATAAAAGTATAGATAATCACATCCCTAATGAGTTTGTGTTCTCCGATTTTTTCTAAAACCTGTCATTTTTGACATATGACACAAACATATGTTTTTTTTAAATGGAACATAAATCATAAATCATGTTCTAAAATTGCGTTAGCAACTAGTAATATTTACTATTCTATTATATAATTATAATTAATTATTATATTATAATTATAACAAGTAACCACAAAACTACAGCATAAAAAAACTATACACAAATAAACTAAAATTTGTAAAATAAATGGCAAATAATAATTATTATTTTTACACACACCATTGGCACTAGCAGTAGATTGTGTTTGTCGCCGAATATATGCCCCGGCCCATCCACGATTCAATCCCAGCATATATTTTATCTTCGTCTCTTCAACGCTAACCGCGCCGATCTCGCCTATCTCTTTCTCACAGGATTGATTGTTGAACGAGCCGGGAATCCACGAGCTTGCGACGTTACTAATTCACATCTTGATAAAAACTATAGTCTGTCCAATGACAAAATCCTTGACAGTGAGAAATATGTCTGTCATTTTAATTTCAAAGTAGTTTATTTTATTTTACAAAGAAATAAGTTGGTACAATTGGAACGCATAATTAATATATTTAAATTTTGAGTGACAAGTGATTACTTCAAAATATTGTAAAAAAAACTGTATAAAACTGAAAAAATCTAATCTTGGTTAATTAACTTTAATCTTAATGTTTTTCTGCAGTACTAAAATTTATTATTTACCTATCGTGTGATGTTATTTTACAGATACTCCAGTTTTTGGTACCATGTACGAGATGGTATACATCTTTATTTGTGGCTAATACAACTTTCTGGCCATAGTCTCTGACAAACTGTGTCTCTGGCGGTCTCTGTGCACCGAATATTAACTGTAAACTATGGTCTGTGTCAACACTTAATTTTCCCTCGAGTTTTCCTCTACTTAATTTTTAAAAACACGAAGCACAAGTACCGACACAGTCCAAAATGCAAAATATTTATCATTTCTATTTGACATAATTTGACACAAAATTATAACCTATAATTTGGCAAGAGTTTGACAATTCTCAAAAATCTTAAGTCGAGTTCATACGCATATGCGTCCGTTTCTCATTCATCGTTGCGTCAAACCAATAATATTTAAATATGATCTGTTATTTTTTAAATAAACCAATAAAACTGGCTAAAAACAACAAGAGACGACGCATGACGTATTTATTTATATACCCATCCATAGTTAATTTAAAAAATATTAGAAACTTCTTTTAGTGAAATAAATGGATTGGTATGGAAGTCATCTGCTAAAAAAAACAAAAAAAAAACATTAATAGAATTAGATTATAATGCTCAACTTTCTATTTTTTATTTTCTTTTTGTTTCAGTTTCCGAATGCAGTCTGTTTGTGTGACCTCTATCCTATGTGCCTTTGTGTGTGATATAATCTTCCTTTCAGCACGTCATTTATATATCTAATAAATAATAATAATAACATCTTACAGTCTCAGGTCACAGGTTACCTTCATAGAAGTTAGTTATATCAAAATTTACCCATTATACATTTTACTCAGATAAGAATCAGTGGCCTTGATATGGTTTAGAGCTTTGAATAAGAAAATCTTAGGTACACCGCGATGGGCCTCAAATATGGCCGACTTAAATTCCGGTTTATCAGTGCCGTTCTAATTTTATTTAAAAAATGTAAAACTATGATGTAGGGTAGACGTGGGGTAGACTCAATAATTTGTTGTTTTATTTTACGTTGTGAATAAATGTTGGTAGTTATTAAAATTGTTATAAAAATACATAATTCTAATAAAAATAGATGTTATAATAAGTATTTATTAACACAAACATCCGATACGCTACTGAAGCAAGTCAAATTAACGTATCTAAATTCTTTGACATCTAATCTTTGACAAGTAATAAATAAAAGCTAAAATGCAACAAAAATATATAATTTAGTTAATTTAAGTGAATTTCATAAATGATCGGTTTACTACACGTATGTATATTATATAGTCACTTACTAGCGAAAAGTTGTTCCATTATTTCACTCAATTTTTGCCGAGATCTACCGCACGCTACACAACCAATTATTTTAGAGTCTTTTTCAATAAATCGCGATAGTGTCACTGTTAATTTAAGTTCTGCCACAATTTCCATCTAGATTTACTACCTTTATACAACTATCAGTAGTAGAATAAATAATAAATAACATAAAATAAGCTCCGTAAAGACTGACAAATCCACAAAATTTCAAATCAAATTCAAATGTGTCAAATGAATCGTCAAACAGAACTGTCAAGGATCCCCACCCTAGAGAGCTTTTATGGTGGCTTTTCCGCCCACCATGCATGAATACATGGATAGCATTATGCTCCTTCCTTAGTCTTCTTATTCAAAGGTTTAGAGCCAGTCAACATCTTGGTCACTCCCAAATTGAGCTGGCGGTTGCCTTGTAGCAGAGCCATCATAAAAAAAGAAGAAGAAGAAGAAGAAGAAGAGATCTGCCGCTTCTTTTGCGTGTTTTTAATGGACACAAATCGAAAAAAAAACGCTTCAAACGGTAAAATTGCAAAAAGTGGTTGACACGCAAAAAAACGCTTTCTGTGTGGCCTTGGGCTTAATCATGTAATTAGCATATTAGTACTTAACTAACCCTTCTTGCCTCTTCGCATTCATCCACATTCTCCGACGAGACTTAACTTCTAATAATTCGTATTACGTCTAATGGCATTTAGAAATATTAAGATTAATCCTATCCGTAGGAAATTCGAGCCCCGGAAAAAGAAAATAGAATATTTGCTTTTGAGAGAAATCCGAAACTTGGCAAACTTAGCTAACCGCAAGTTGAGAATTAGCGCTGGCAAACTAACGGAGAAAGCCTCCAAGTTTTGGCTTGGCGCTGAGTATGTTGACTGTTTAATAGAGAGCTAAACTTAAGATTTATTACCTCTACCGTTTAATTGGAAGTTATTAATTAATAATTTCGACAAAAGGAGCATATAATAAGGGTCGGCCAAGTTTTAAAATATTGCTTTGTAATTGAATCTGACATAAATATGTCAAACATATTTTTTTAACATTGAAAATGTTTCTGTTATCCTATATAAGGGAGCCCAAATCGAATTAAAATGCTACATTTGCCACACCATGACGTCATATATACAAGGGTATAGCAAATCTCGGCGCAGCGGCGGCAGTCGGCCAGCGCGCGCAAAAACCATTACATCGCTGATTGTTTATTGCTATATCTTTATTAGTTTAAAAGCAAAAAATATGGGGTTTGCTTTGATACCTTGTCAAGACATAAGCGAAACTTTTAAATTGCTTCTTTTTTCATTTAGGCCTTCGTTTTTCCTTAAATGAAAGTTATATTAAAAAAAGTCTATTTTTAAACCAAATTTTCGCATGATTGAAATGAGTTATTCATGTTTAAAGTTTTTTTTGGTCATAAGCGCTAATGGAAATGTTTTTTGTAAATAATTATAAAAAATTACTCCCTACGAAGACTTTATTGTGTACTGGATCAAAAAATAAGTATTTGTTTTCTCTATACGGCGTTATTAATATATCGATTTTTGATGATAGTGCCCTTTTACCCGGTCTAATTGTACTACTTTCGGAATAAGGGTCCCCATATCATGTACTGTACTTCCATCCCTGAAAAATTCAGCTTGTGACACCGAAGTGACACGTAAAGTCAAAATAAGCTTTAATCTACCTACATCATAGGTAGGTGTAGGTACTCTAGGTATATTCTACCTAGACAGTAGCTGACAGTAGTAATTAATTTGTTATCCGATAAGTAGTTGTCATTATATAGGTTTAATCATCTTATACCTCCTATAACGGTAGGTTTTGGATTTTTTCCTGATTGGTTTGTTAAACAAAAATATACTGGGCATATAAATGTCTAACACAATACATGTATTGAATGTACTTATTTTAACCAATGCATTGTTTTGTTTTTTTAATCTCACAAATAAGTTGTTCACGGCACATAAAAATGTTCACGACGCCGCGCGCCGCCGAAGAGGAATCGGCCTACGTTTGGCTAAACAGGCTGGACACGGTGGACTACGATATTGGCGAGTCTGAATATTTATAAAAATTTGCAAAGTAAAATATGTTGGAAAAATAATTAATCCATACATATATAAAAGCTCAAAGGTTTTTTTGTTGCATCCATCCTGCCGAAACCGCTTCACCAATCTTGATGATTCTTTTTAATGAAGGTACCGTATGATCGAATAAAAAACGGCGTCAGCGATGGCTATGAAATGAAGATCGCTGTCATTTTATATGTAAATTTATATGGGAAATGTCATCGATCGTCATTTCCCAGCCAACTGGACGCCGTTTTCGATCATACGGTATACATGTGTAGATTTGTTATGAAGTATTTTTATAGTGCTTAATGGCTATTTCTTTGTGTAAAACGACTAAATACTAAAACATACCTGAAAACACCTACACACAATACCTCCAGAAATAAATTATTTGTCATTGTCAGTGGTGTGTCAGTTAGATTATATTTTAAGTTTTTAGATATTTTAGGAGTGAGTTCATACCGCCAGGTTTAGATACATAAATATTAGCACAAAGGTTCGTTTAAACGCCATTAGTGAATTAGCTACACAAAGCGATTTTAGGAAATTCATCCTCTTAGAGAGTAAAATTATGTCGGAACAGTTTGCTGTATGAAAATTCCTTACTATTTGGTCTAGAAAAATGAAATCCTACAAAAATAATTAGAAGAAATTTTTGAAATTCATCAACCAAATGGGTAAAGTTAGTAAAAATTTATATAAAACTTGGTGACCTCTGGATTATACACATAAAAATTGGCACAAAGGTAAAGCAAATTTATGAAATTTATACCCTTAGGGACTAGAATAGGGAATGAAAGTTTGCTGTACGAAAATGCAATACTATAACATTATAAACCAGATAGTATAAAATTTTATACAAGGGTTTATTTAGTGACATCATAACGAGATATATCTTCCTTAATTATCCTTCAAAGAATAAAAAATAACCTATAAAGAGAGTATTAGTGCTCTTAATAAATAAAAAAAAAGATAAAAAATAAAAAACATCTATCTAGCTCTCTATAAAGAAGTAAAAAATCATTTAAATCAATGCATGAAGGATTCGAGGTGTAACGCGAACGTAGTCGTGAGAAAAAGCTAGTAATTTATTAAATTATTTTATTTAACTCATTAATTTTCATTGAAAAAGATTTTTTGTAATTCGCCACTATATTAGTTAAAAACTAAGAAACTCATATCAAATTTAAGTTTTGCGATTTTTACTTATACTTTTTACAAAATATGAACACATTTTAAAAGAAAAAAAGTTTTTGATAATATTTATGTAGATTGACTACAAGTTGTATAACATAAATTTCTACGACCGGTCTACCTAGTGGTCTGCAGCATCGCATTGTGGTGCAAACGTGGGCCTGTTAATCTGTGACGTGACGCACAACAGCCAAGAAAAACAGAAGAGTGGCTAAGAATTTAGTAATTTAAAAAAAGTCTTTTAGATACAGTAGTAGGTATTAAAAAGTTTTGTGTTTAAATGGGGTTTGCCTTTAACAGTTAAAAAATTATATCGTAAAGTGTAACTTTCCGTAAGAATTCTTTATCTGTCATTGATCATGATCTGTCATCATGTTAACTTGATGTTTTGTATGTTATTTTGTTTTTTTCGATAGGTGCGATCGCATAATTATTATTGATAATGTTTTATTTAATGTTAACATTACTACTTATTCAGTGAATCTTTAAATCTATTGTTTTTTGTTAAGTTCGTTATTTAAAAATATGTATGTAATACACTCATATTAACACTAATCATATTTTTACGTTTTTACTCATCATTTTCAATGCCCCCCCCGGTTGCATCTTTGTAAAGGACTGTGAATTTTGTATGTCAGGCAGTAGCGGCTTAACCATGAGTTCAAATGGTCAATGCCACCCCAAAAAAATTAGGAGAAAATTAGAAAAACTTATTTAAATTATACTTTTTGTAAATCATTTTTTTTCATCCCCAATTTCAGACAAATTGGGAACAGTTATAAATATTTTAGATTTATAACTGTTCCCAATTTGTCTAATTTTCGCTTGAAAACATTTTATTTTACCCATTTTTTCTACTGCTGATCAAAATTTAATTTTGTCGTTCGTTCCTGCAATGTTTTACACGTATTAAACTCCAAGTGCCGCGGCTCGTGACGCCAATAAGGAAAGGTATACTACGTATAGAAAATATAATGGGTTAAGGTGCGATAGGTATAGTTTATATTGGCCATTGACCGCGTTATTCATAAAATAAGGTAGGCAACTTTATGTACACTTGTATTTGGTAGCTTAGTGGCAGACGATATAAAAAGTGGCGATTTTTGTCTTTGTCTGGAAACAAGCGTGCTCTTATTGTAATTTGTAATATTGTTTATTAGTTGAGAATCAAAATAGTTGATTATGAAATATCGTGTGCATTATTTCTTTATAAATATATTACAGGATTTCAGTCATATCGCTGGAAAAATTGTCGCCGTTTGGGCAGCTTGGGTGTTTATAAAAACTCAAATTATAAAACAACCTAGGTTATGTATCGTTTATAGCGTATCGCGTATCGCGTATAATTTTTGGTTTAGTCAATATAAATCAATATTTAAATTTTTAATAGCCGAGGGTTTGAGATGCAGCGCGAAATTTGTGTAGGTAATAATTCATAATTTTCTGGTTCTGGATAAATGATAACTCTTGTTTGACTGATTCTGGAATAGATATTTTCAAATAGACAACATATGGTGTTTAGTTGGTAAAATCGTGCGGTTAAAAGAAAAATTTACTTTTCTTGAGAAAATAGACTTTTCTTGAAAGTCAGTCTGAAAAATGAAACTCTGATAGGTATTTACTATAAGTTGGTCTATACCTACTTTTCTATAAATATCGTAATTTAAAAACGCCAAAATTTTAAATCATGTTTCTTCGTTTTTTTAATGGAACACCCTGTATATTATATCTTTGTTAGACGGAAAATTAAAAAATTAAAAAAAAATTGTATTTAAAATATTTCAAAATTTTTATTTCATATGGCTCTTTTAACGTTAAAATACAAGGCAAAATCATTAGACGGCTTTGACAAAAAATTACTGTTATAACCTATATTTTTTTTATCCCCTGGTTGCTAGGGTCGCTATACCAGGTTCTCTCTCTCAATCAAAACAACCATTGGATAAAATATGCATTTATTTAATATAAGGTTTACAGTGTATAACAATTTTGGGGAATGCCAAGACTTAACGGTTTACTTAAAGAAGTACTTACAGGAACATCTTCACTCTGCGCTGTCTTCTACTAACGGACTGATAACGCGAATTACTGACCGTAATAATGCGACTCACATCGACGGACTAACTTTTTGACTCTCTTCAGCATACATTTTTATATTTTCTATACCTCGTGGTCATCGCCGGTTACGTC